CGCTTAAGACTGATCCCAACTGCGGATCAGTTGAGGGCGAGTGTGATGTGAATCGACGCAAAAACCGATACAAAGACATTCTTCCGTGTAATGACTCATTGAATATATGAACCATTGAATGAACCATTAAATTGATTGATTGATTCGCACCGCAGATGATCACAGCCGAGTCATACTCGAAGAATATCCAGGAGTTCCCGGATCTGATTACATGAATGCCAATTACGTGAAGGGCTCGTCCGGATGTCCGCGCGCTTACATCGCGAGTAAGACATGATTTTGCGAACCAATTTGTTGTATACGTTTGTGTGACCCGATTGTCACCGACCCGTAGGTCAGGGACCGCTGCCCAACACTTTGGTCGACTTCTGGCGCATGATATGGGAGACAGACATTACGGTCATTGTTATGGCCTGTAATGAGAGAGAGTCGGGAAAGTATAAGTGCGAGTCTTATTGGCCGCAAGACAACGACGAACCGCAACAATACGGAAACATAACAGGTTTGCGACCATCACTTGATTATCGCCACCAAATATTGCAACCATTTGTTTGTTTTGCTGTGAAATGACAGTTGAATTGGTGAAGTGGCGTCAGGTGTGCCCCGACTTCTTGGTCCGCACTCTGAAAGTAAAGGCGGACTCAATAGAGCGGACAGTGTGTCAGTTCCACTACCAGACGTGGCCCGACCACGGAGTGCCCAACTCTGTCCANGTGAAGTGGCGTCAGGTGTGCCCCGACTTCTTGGTCCGCACTCTGAAAGTAAAGGCGGACTCAATAGAGCGGACAGTGTGTCAGTTCCACTACCAGACGTGGCCCGACCACGGAGTGCCCAACTCTGTCCACCCTATACTCGAATTGGTGCGACTCATGCGTGACGTCCAGATTTCCGAAACCCGTCCAATACTGATCCACTGCAGCGCCGGCTGCGGCCGAACCGGTACTCTATGTAGTATTGATTACGTTTGGGCTCTACTCAGGACCGGAAAACTTAGAGAAGGTTTGCATTTATTTTTATTTATATATTTATTAAAATTTTACTAATTTTTTATAAATTTGTTTTTGAAATAGATTTTAGTTTGTATTTAATTATAAAAGAGATGCGAAAGCAAAGGATAGCAATGGTTCAGACATTAGAGCAGTATATGCTGTGCTATAAAGCTGTGGCCACTCTTTTTGAGCAGCAGCTGAAAATGATTGATTCGCACACTTATGAGAACATCGACGGCGATGGGGAGCCTCTTATGAGACGCCAATTGTTGCGAGAGTCGGACCAAATGCCTCATCAAACAGATGTGAACGGATGCCAAAGCAGTGCCACTAAAAAGAAACTGATGCCCGTCTCGCCATTGGTTGTGCCGCCCCTCCCCTCCCTCGCCGTCCTTCCCAACAGTCCGTCCAGTGGTGGCGACGAAGTGAGACACGAGAGACTCATTGGAAAGGCAACTGTTATCCGTCGGCCCAGTATTGCCAAACTTAAAGCTATATTTGAAAATCAAAACCTGATCTCAACGGAAATACCGATCGTGAGGTCGCGTTCTTCCAGTTCTTCGCTTAATAGAAGTCAAAGTATTAAAGAAAAGACAAGAAATGCCAAATCAATGATTGAAACGAATGGCAATATATTTGTTGACAATCAACGAGAATCGATGGCATCGAAAGAAGGACTTCGTGTTCACAATAATCATCATTTTGACCATCAGTTTAGACACGACTCCGAACAAACTTATGGTACGACTGGTATGAATGGCTCTATGAAAGAGAGTACTTATGGTGAATGTAATCCAAACGTTAATGTAATGAATCGTAATTTATCTGATAATTCACAACAAATAATGCAAACAAATCATTACAACAACGGCTCAGTTATGGATCAGTTTGCCATTTATAGCGAACAAAAAATGTATCAAAATCATCAACAATTACAACAAGAGATTCGTCAACACATTCAGCAAAAACAGCTTCAATCGGTGTCTTCGCAGTCCATTCACCAAATGGTTCCCAATTTGTATTCAATTGAATCTCAAATGCATAATCAGAACTCAATCTCACATCAGATAACGTCCCAAATGGGAGGTCCTCTGCAAATGACAATTAACGCTCAAATACAAAGCCAACCGCTGCCACCGCCGCCCAAACCCCCGCGAACTTATCAATACCACCATATGATAGACCACATCACGTCACTGCCCAACACTTCCGATGGAAGGCTTATCGTATCGGTGGCTCTTCCCAGACGCCAGTCAAACGACATAAACGGCACCCAAAACAGCCATTACGAGAGCATCGGTCAGAGAGGGTGTAACATATCAGCGCCTAATCTCGTTTCGGACGCACTTCTCGTTAACGCCAATAATATGGAGAATTTCAATAACTTTAGTGTCAATCAAAACAATGCCATAAAAGTGCTGAACGTTTCGAATAATAATATTTATGAATCAGTTTTGCCTAAATATAGGAGAGGACAGCCTTTAGAGCCCAACGGAGTGCCGAACGCAACACAAAACCAAAGCATTCATTCCTATTATGATATAATGAAGTTAAGAAACTCAGGCCTCAACTCAACCCTTCCTTTCTATGACAGCCTATACGGCAGACACGGCTTTATGACAGTATCCAATGTGCGACACATACCTGTGCCCACTATAGCCCAGATCCAGTGCCAGTTTCCTCAATTCAAACCTAATTATGAGTCCATTTATTCCAACACTAATCCAAATACTAATCAAAATAACGTTAATATAAATAAAACTAAAAGCGAACCAAACATCAAATTAAATTCAGAAAGAATTACTAATAATTTTGTCAATAATAATGAAAAACCAGAAAATAATAAAAATTCCAACAAAAAGATTAAGAATTCTGATAAGAAGGAGAAAAACTTAAACAATAAACTGAACGCTAAGACAAAGACTAACTCAAAGAAGGAATCGACGAAAAAGACTTCAAATAACAGTTCAACAAACGCTCAGAACGTGTCACAAGAGTCCACTTCAGGAGCTTTTTCTAAATTATCGAATGCTTTCAGAGGTTTACGAATCAAATCCTCAAAACCAAAGCCAAACTCCAATACCGCTAACAGTCCTTCTAATAGTATGTCATTTGTTTTACAATTAATTAAGTGCTGTATTAATGTCTATTTACTGCTTTTTTAGGTCCCATTGCCTCTCGTCCGCCTCATTCTCATCGCTTCTCACCGCCCACTCAATGGACACAAGTTTGACACAAATATTTATATTATTTTTATAAATATAACTATTTTTATACTTAATTTTAATAATATATTTTATTTATTAATATAAACCAATTTATATCATATGTGAACAAAATTTACAAAACAAATGAATTAAAAAAAATATTTAAAAATAAATATTAAATAAAATAATTAATTTAAAAGTAATTACTAAAAATTTAAAACAAACTAAAAATGGTATATAAAAGTGAAGAATTAGACGAAATGTAAGAAATGAATGAAATGGACGAATAAATTAGTAAAACTTTAAGCGCCGATTGCGCCGGAAATCGGTCCACGAATGTGAGGGCAAGCCGTGAGCGCCCAACGCGTTCATAGCGAGGGCCGGATTTGCCGCGTAAGCCATGGCAGCGGCCGCTGGTATGAGGTGTGGATGAGTCACCATCGGTGGCGGCGGATGGCTCGGCATCGGGTGTCCTCTCATCGGAGCGTTGCTTTGTTTGGTGAACTGTTGGCTCAGGAATGCTTTCCGTTCCTCTTTGCTCTGAGCGAACGATACATACAATGGTTTTGTGTCTATAATTCTGTTATTCATTTCGTTGATAGCCTTTTGCGACTCTTCTGGCTTTGAAAAGCACACGAAACCGAATCCAAGCGAACGGCCAGTGTTTGGATCGCACATGACTTTCGCCGAACTTATTGTCCCGAAAGCGGAGAACTCTTGGATCAGACGCTTGTCATCAGTGGATTCCTCGAGATTCTTGACGTATAGATTGATTCCTTTGTATCGATTGATGCGCTTTTGTCTTAATTCGTCGAATCGTTTCTTGAGTTCTTGCATTCTCTCGGCCTTCTTCTGGGCCCGACTCACGTAAAGCGTCCTTCCGTTTGACATCTCTTTCTTTCCGTTCAATTCTTGGATACAATTGTGCGCCGATTCCGGGCTCTCGAACGACACGAATCCAAAGCAGCGACTCTTCCCTGTCTTCTCGTCGACCATCACTTTCGCGGACACTATTTTGCCGAAACTTTCAAAGAGTTGGCACAGCTTTTGATTGTCGTAATCGTCGGTCAGGTATTTGACGTAAACATTAGTGAAGTGTTTGCTCTTCTCAGCGAACGGCGAGTTCTGGCGCTCAGACTTCGGCACAAATTTGCCGACAAATACTTTTTTGCCGTTTAATAGCATTCCATTCACTTTATTGATGGCATTATTAGCCGCTTCTTCGGTGGCGAAGTGGACAAAGCCGTACCCTTTGCTGAGTCCGTGCAAGTCTTGGGCCACTTTACACGACAGGATTTTGCCGAACGTCGAGAACGTGTCAAACATAACGCTATTATCGATAGATTTGTCCAAATTCTTGATGAAGACATTGCCGACGCCTGACTTCCTGAGCGATGGGTCGCGTTGTGACCACATTATCCGCAACGGCCTGTCCTTCAATACATCGAAGTTCATCCGATCGATGGTTTTCTCCGCGTCGGAGACCTCTTGAAAGTTGACGTAAGCGTAACCCAAAGAGCGACGGGTCAGCAGATCTCGACAAACGCGGATCGACAGCACCGGACCTATTGTCGAAAACTTCTCGAAGAGCATGGCTTCGGTCACATTAGCCGACAAATCGCCGACATATAGCGATGCCATCGAGTAATTCGGTCCCGAAGTCATCCTTTTGG